ACGAAGTCCACTGCTGAGGGGAGCAGCGGGCGGGTCAGGAGAGGTCTGCCACGCCATGTGGTCACCTCCGGGGCGGGCAGGGATCAAACTCATGCTAATGAGGCCTTAGCTTCTCAGTGCTGTGCTTTAACCCACTGTACCACCAGGGAGGGCCCCCAAAGAACTTAATAGTCAAAGCCCCCACACACGACCTGATTTCCTCAACCAGGATAGTTTCAGGGATCAGCAGCACTTCCAAAGGGGGGCAGACAGCTTTCCCTGGACATCTGCAAGCACCACACCACAGCACCAGAACGAGCACTTCCTGAGGACCTCACAACAGCACTCAAAGGACACAACCACAAGTAGCACCCATATGTGCAGGGTGAGTGGCCAAGCTGTGGGATCAGCCCAACAAGCACATTCTAGAACACTTAAAACTGAGGTAACACCCCCCCAAGCTCACAGGCCCAGAATGCCCAGCCCCTCAACATCAGAGGTCAATACACAGGGACAAGACTGGGCAGCAAAGCACAACCGTGAGTTGCTCACTGGTGGTCAGTGTTGGGAGTGACCAAAGAGTTACTGGCAAGAACTGGATTAGGGCAGTAAAGACACGGATCACTGGAAAGTTGATTCATAGAAAGCAGATCACAGCACCACACAAGAACACCGATCTAACTTTCTTAGCCCCATTAATGAGGGCCCCACAATACTGCCTCAAAGCCATGCACAAAGGCCAACACCTCAGCACCACAATGCCCCAAATGTAGCCAGCAAGGGACAGCCCTACCTCATGGGGAGCTCTAGCAGGGTGCACAATCTGGACAAGTTAACAGTGAAAAATACATTGCACACAAAGTGCAAAGACAGAGCCACCAGCTGTCACCCCCCCACATGCAGGGACCAGGACGCCAGGGGCTCACACCAGCCAAGGCTTCACAGCAGACACAAGCAGTTAAACACATTCAACAGAAAGTCTCACAAGCTCAGGGAAACACCACATGCAGTGCGATTTACAGGCAAGGAAAACCACAAACAGCCATGTTTTGGGGTAAACACAAGTTGGAGAAAACCCAATCTGACCCCACAGCAGCAAAAAAGGGAGCAAGTGGCTCCACCCACAACAGGGTGCAGATCCGTGCACATCACAGCAGCGCCAACAGCACAGTTTAGAGCAGCCTGACACAGCCCCAGAAACAGTCTCAGCAAGTCTCAAAGGGCCTCAGCATCACAGGGAGACCCGTGACAAAATCAAAGCACCAACGTGGGCACACTGGGCTCTTGGCCAGCGGGCATACACACACCTGCAAGGGAAACTTCAACGTGGGTCAATGCAGTACCCCAACAACACACTCAAGAGACTGAAATTGATTCCACGAGCTGCACTGGGAACAGCACCTCACCCAGGAAGCACCGAGACAACCCAAGAGGGTGGACACGCACAGTGCAGGCTCTCGCTGGTGCCCAGGGTCTCAGACCAGGGGTCACCCGCACGGGGCCCACAGGCAGGAAGGTGCACTCACCAGCACCCAGCAGCAAGGCAGAACACCAGCACTC